TCTCCACACCCAACATGGGGCTTGAACCCACGACCCCAAGATCCATGTTTCACGCTCTTCCAACTGAACCAGCTGGGCGCCCCAGGATCTCTGTAGGATTTCTTCCAATTGCATGTAAATCTGTAATGATCTTAAAAAGTGTTTTTTTTAAAAAAGATATAAAATTTAGAACTGTCTACACAGCCATTAGTCACTAAACTTCATTTGGAACTAGTGAAGAAAAAAAAAAAAATTCTTGCACTTTACCTCCTCCATCTGCAAAGCAGCCCACCCAGGTAAGACAGAATGCTAGCCACAGAGCTAATGTGACATTGTTCTCGAAGAAACACTTTCAAAAAGTAAAGACAAACAGATAAAATTCATATAAAAAATATATTTTATTTAAAAGCCAACAAGCATTATGAAAAGATGCTCAACGTCACTTATCATCAGGGAAACAAAAACCAAAACCTACAATGAGATATCACCGCGAATGGATGGTTCCTACTGGGGAAAAAAAAAAAAAAAAAAGGAAAACAAATATTCAAATGTTGGCAAGGAAGCGGAGAAACTGGAACCCTTGTAGGCCATTGGTGGGAATATCAAATGGTGTGACCACTGTGGAAAACACGGTGGAGGTTCCTCAAAAAATTAAAAATAGAACTCCCATATGACCCAACAATCCCACTTCTGGGTATATATGCAAAAGAATCAAAAACATGGTTTTGAAGAGATGGTTGCACATATCAAAAAGAATCCAAAGTATAATCTATGAGATATCTGCATACCCATATTCAAAGCAGCATTATTCATAACAGCCAAGAGACGGAAGCAACCCAAGTGTCCGATGACGGATGAATGAATTAATCAAGTATGTTGCATAAATACAATGGACTATTATTCAGCCCTAAAAAGGAAGGAAGGTCTAGTAATGATGAATAACCTTGAGGACGTTATGCTAAGTGAAATAAACCAGTCATGAAAAGATCAATACTGTATAATCCCACTTATATGAAACATCTACAACAGTCCAAATCATAGACACCGATAAAACAAAGGTTGCCAGGAACTGGGAGGAGAGGAAGTGGGGAACCGACAGTTAATGGGTACAGTGTTTCAGTTCTACAAGATGAGAAAGTCCTGGGAGTGGGTTGCACAACTATGTCAATACGCTGAATGCTACTAACTGCACACTTAGGAAAGGTGAAGGTGGGGCGCCTGGGTGGCTTAGTCGATGAAGCGTCTGACCTCGGCTCAGTTTTGATCTTGAGGTTCATGGGTTCGAGTCCCACATCGGGCTCTGTGCTGACAGCTCAGAGCCTGGAGCCTGCTTTGGTTTCTGTGTCTCCCTCTGTCTGCCCCTGCCCTGCTCACACCCTCTCTCTCTCGAAAATAAATATCTAAAAAAATTTACAAACCCACGTTTTTAATTTAACCCAGTATATTAAAAATATCTCAACATGTCATTCATATGAACACGGCTGAGATATTTTATATTCTTTCTTATGCACCACGAAGTTTTCAAACTCTAGTGTGAACTGACAGGAACAAGCACATCTCATCTGGACTAGTTGTATCTTAAGTGCTCAGTACTCCGCTGTGGGAAGTTGTGGCTTCCCCACTGAGCCAGACCTCACCTGTCACCCCCACATAATAAACCTTATAGTTAGAGCCAAATAACTCAAAATATCTGGCGGGGTAGGGGAGACACACAGGGTCTTTTTCCAGCTGCTAGACTTTTTTTGAAATCTTATTTGTCTTCAGGTAGCTCTATGGAAAGGCTGATGGGCAAAACTCCAAACTCTGAACATCTCCTGGGCATGTCCTCTTTGTCAGGCCCTCATTACGATCTGCAGGACATCATGCCTCTCCTCGGAGGGCTCACAATCTGCCAGATAACTGCCAGGTGCAAGAGGACTAGGCACATCATGTGGAGGAATACCAAGAACACGATTAACCCCTACCTATGAATTCTGATGTTCCAGAGAATATAAAGGTTAAGTCATTGGACACCCAGAAGTTGTTAATTACGGAGCTTTCACCCTGTTCACAATATTCACTGGCACATCCTGACCTTTCTTAACTCTTACCTCCACCAGCAGTAACTACACCTTCAAAGTACAAACTTGTGCAGAAAACAGTACACAATTTGTATTAAAAACGCACATGGCATACGCACACTCACTAGCAAAGGCACTCAGAAACCCATACCTCTGTCAACGATTGTGGGCAGAATAATCGGTTATCCACTAAGAGCTCATTTGTTAAGTTAATTGACCCAGGATGTAAGGAGACTACAATTTGATTGGTAAAAGCAAACAAAAAAAAAAAAAAGGAAAGAAGAAAAAAGAACCCTCTCTCTCTCCTCATGGAAAAATAGAGTATTTTTTAAAGACCTCCAGAAAAATCGGGGATATCGAGAAAAATAGGAAAGCATTTCTAGAATAAACAAAACATCTACTTGCTGCACATCCCAGACAAGAATAGACTTTCTCATCAGAACAAAGATGCAGGAGCAGAGCTACCAGATCCGTTGCTTCCTTTCCCCAGTCGAGGAGCAGAAACTATTTTGTGGGTGAAAGAGCAGGAGCCCCTGGCAGAGGAGAACCTCTCTATAACCTCACATTTGTGTTGCCCTGGGGAAAACCAATCATAAAGACTTCTTTGTGAAAAAGAAAAAAATTGAGTTTTGCAATAAATTATCAAAAGCTTCATTGAAGATCTTAACGGACATGGTTGAGTAAGGAACACTAAACATGACTACAAAGAGAACAGAACCCAATTTTATCAACTCAGCAGATTTCAGGGGTCTTTAGGCACCGGACTATCAGAAGAATAACCATGAAAAAAAGTTATAGACTACAAAGGCTGTCAATTTTATTCTGCAGTTAATAAAACTCCTATCTATCTAAGTCCTCTCCAGTCCCCCACTCATCCCCCACCCCAGCAAACAGATCTCCCCAGAACTAAATACTGAAAACTTACCTTGATGCACTAACTTCAGACAAACTCCTTATAACTTATCATTTACTCCTTGCATTAAACTCTCGGTTATCATGCCAATCTACCGGAATGTAGTTAGTGCTATGAAATTACACCTCAGGATCCATGACTTGACTTCACAGGTATAAACATAACTGTCTTTAATAACTTAGACTGTGATCTCTAAAGCTTTACATCTGTCATCTGGAGTAACAGGACTTACCTTATAATCTCGCTAAACAGTATGTTACCATACATACTAAAAAAAAAAAAAAAAAAAAATACATTATCTCACCCACTATTTCTGGTTCACAAGGTAAGATAAACTCTATCTATGCATCAAGCCACCACCTGTAGAGGCGGATTCATAGGTCTGCAGGGAAAAACTAAGGCTTCCACAGGATCCTTAAAATACATAGGTTTTTAAAACTACACACCATTAAGCCCTATTCACTCATTCAGTGAGCAAGAATGCTACAGGTTCATAAACTCACTTTCATGGGCAGAGAAACATTCCCAAGCACCGAGAACTTCTAAGCTTTAAATGAGTTCAGGACAGTAGTGAGAGAAATAAGTAGCAGCAATAAAACTTCTAGCTCCTTTTCTTAAAGGAGGGATCCTAATGAAGTAGATCTCAGTTTGCAGCGGGAGACACCTAGCCAATATGCACAGTTACCAATGTTTTTGCCGTCTCTGCTTGCCATTTCCCACGTGTGCCCAATCTGACAAGTGACCAACCTTCTGAGGCTCTAATTCTGTAACATGGGGACAGACCTGCATGGTTTCCCCATCTGAAGATTAGGAGGCACAGCCCCATTCTATCTGTAAATGCAAATTTGCCATTGTGTTCCAGCAATCAGATGTCTAGCCTGATGACTGTTTAGTTAGCTTCTGGCAAAAATGTGATCTACATTCTAACAGTCTGTATATACCGGATCCTTCAGGAATAATGCTGCCAACTTGCTTGTATTTCATTAATCCAGGAAAGGCTAATCTGTCCAAATGGGAAGCAAGATTTTGGTGAATCCTTATCAAGACATGAACCTTTTCCATGAGTGGGGAAGAGTGACTTGAATCAACACAGACTTACTCCCTTACCAAGGTTGCCAGAAGCAAACATGCTCAAAGTCACATGCTGGGGGCTCAAGGGTCAAATCTAGCCTGCAGATGCTTTATCTGGCTTACACAGTGCTTTCAAAGTTCTAAATTAATTGCCAATGTCTAAGCATCAGGATATTTGGCATCAAAATCTACATCCCTGGGTTATCTTGCACTATACAATAGGAAAACAACTACTACTCTCCGACCACACACCCACACAGACACAGTTGGGGGCAGTTCTAATGTAAAAAGTGCAAATGCTCCCTGATTTCCCATAGTTAGTTCCCACAAGGTCAGTTCCCTCTGTGATTATCTGGTCAGGTTTTCCTGGGCATTTATGTTTGCCACTCCTGGTTCAGACCCCAAAACACTGCTTAATCCCTGAAATAAAAACCCACAATCTAATCTTATTAGTGCTATACCTAAAACCTCTGAGCAAACAAAATTAGCCCAAAGAGAAATGTGAGTAGAAAACAAACCATTTCCATGGTTCTATGTTGGTACTGCCTTTACAAACAAGGTCGGTTCTTTAAAGCGTCCTTGTTGAAAATGGTTAACTTGTCTCGTTTCCCTCCATACATTTAGCCATGTTTTTAAGCTATTTGCTGTAGCTGACGGAGTCCCCTTCAAGCACAGGGTCATTAATAAGTGAGTCTTAGTGGTTACAACAACACCTACACTTCAGTGAAGGCAGGAACAGGGATTCCGGCTTTACTGCTCAACAGGCAGATCCTGGGGGTATTTTACTGCTGCTACAAAACCTGATTTAAAATCAATGTTGGCTTGATGTCTTATTTGACACATCCTCCCCTCCTGTCAAAACGTGGAATAAGTCAGTAAAAGGGTTTCTAAAAGGGGGGTTGACGTAAATGTTACACACAGCCTTTACACAGTCAAACAACCACACGTTAACTACCTCTTACCCGGGTATTGCTTACCCATTGCACTGAGATAATGGTTGAAGGCCTGGCAAGGAGGACTTGGGGTTTGTGTTGATTTGTCACAACTCATGGGTGCCGGGCTCCTGTCTGTGTCAAAAGAGAAATACCCACTGGAGGATCGAGACAGCAGGGAGGATCTTCTGACAAAGATGAAAAGCGGGGATCTGGTAGCAAAAGGCCCGGGGCTGGCTGGTGGGGCCAGCGGGCCCTGAGGGCTGCCTTGGGGGCAGCGGTCCCCTTCGCCTTCAGGATTACCTTGCTGCTCTGTCTGTAGAGAGGTAGGGGCCCCAGGCCTGAGCTGAGGAGGCCTCTCAGCAGGCTGCAATTGTCCACCTTCTCTGTCACACTCAGAACTTACATCTGAAGGTTGCTTTGCCATTTGGTCTTTTTTTCTGCAAGTAAAATAAAAACTAAGATTATCTTAAGCAAAACAGTAACTGTAACAAGTAACTAAATGTAGCTAACTTTCACGGACTCCTTCAACATTTCTAGAAGAGCGAATGCTTTAACGTTAAGTCGTCAGTTGGTATATTTTTCTGACAATCTTCCAGGTAAGAATAAAAATAACACCTAAAATAACAAAAGTTATCTCTCTCTTTGCGAGGTGGGGGGAGGGGAGGGGGTGGGACTAAACTTCCTGCCACCAAGCAAAATACAATTACATCGTCAACGTGTGACCGGTGCTCTAACGCACACGGACACGCACACAAGTTTTAGGAGAAGCAGCTCGTGTTAAGTCTATTCACACGTGCTCTTTGCTCAGGGCCGACTTGAAGAAGTCGGAAACTCCCAGCGGGCTCTGATTTCCCGGGATCAGATACCGCGCTGGAGCACAGGAGCGGGCGCAGATGCAGCGATTTGCAGGCGGCTGGCCGCGTTCCCCGCTCCGGCCCCATTGTTCTGCCGAAAGTGCTGAGGGCAGCAAGTCTGGGGAAGGTTTGGCAAGGGCCGTCAGTCGTAGTAAGTGCGTCACAATAGAGTTTGTAACTCCGAGCGAGCGCGGCTCGGCCCGGGTCGGGCGCTCCCCGCCCGCGGTCCCTCCCGCTCCCAGCCCGCGCGCCCCTCCTCCCGCAGGGGGTAGCGCGCCGCCCCGAACTCGACAGAACTTCTCCCGAATGCACCCACACTAAGAGGTGAACACCTCCAAATGGGGGGGGAGTCCCCCAAAGCCGTCCCCGGGCGCCCCCTGCAAACTCCCCAAGTTACTCTACACGCTAGGCGACACCGGAGCGCGCGCCTCCTTCACCCCATTGACCCTCCTCTGCGAAGGCAATCGGGCCGAAACTCACGTCCGCCCCTTCCCTTCCGAGCGTCGCGTCCGAGCCCGGGCCGCGCGGCGTCCTGCCCGCGCCCTTCGCCGACCCGGAGCCCCCTGACCGTCAGCACGAAGGTAGCGCGGGAGACAAAGCCTAGAACTCGCGTTCAGAGCCCCCGGGGCAGCGCAGACCCGACCACTGGCCGTCCACCCGCCGCCGCGCTCCGCCGGGCAGCCGAGGGCTCCGCGCGCCGCGCTTCTGGCCCGCGCTGCCCCGGCCGCCGCCGCCGCCGCCGGGAACATCCTCCGCCTCCTCCCGCTCCTCC